AGTAAAGAATTTGCAAGATGAGATTTTAGATGATAATTTAGAAATTTCAGCGGATGCTTCGGATTATGCGGTAGGAGCGGTACTTTCGCAAAATCAGCAGCCCGTGGCATTTTTTAGTCGAACTTTAAATCAAACACAAAGAAATTAATCCGCGACCGAGAAGAGAGGCACTTGCAGTTCTGTTAGCAGTGCAAAAGTTCCGAGTCTATTTTGGAAGGGCGCCGATAACAGTGTATTCTGATCATGCGGCGGTAACTAGATTGTACTCAGGAAAAACTTTATCCCCAAGGTTAATAAGATGGGCACTCAAGCTGCAAGAATATAATCTGGTAATCAAGCATACCCCCGGAAAGGAAAATATCGTAGCAGATGCCCTATCCAGAATAAAAATAGATGAAGAAGGTAATACCGTAAAGGTCGAAATGCTCACAGCATGTACAATAAATTCCCGAGAAACTGTAATAACCGAACTGGGTAAGGATCCTGAGTTTAAAAACATTTATGAGTATTTAAAGGATCCTGAAAATTTTAGCCACCAAGATATTGTGGCGATAAGAAATAGGGCGGCCCATTACGAACTAATAGATAGGTCTATTATTTTATACAAAAACTACGAATTCCAACAACGAATTTCGACCTGTTATCCCAGCTAGTCTTAGATTAAATATCCTGCAGGAGCTACCATGACTCCCCTTTAGCTTCTCATGCTGTATTCGAAAAACTATCCAACGCGTACGCGAGGCAGTCTATTTCCTGAACTGCAAAAGTTAACAAGGGCGTATGTCCAGTCCTGCCCAACATGTCAAGCAGTTAATTATATTAATTTCCGCCCGGCCGGGTTTCTAAATAGCATTAAATCCGAATTTCCAAATGAAATAATTGGCATCGATTTATTGGGCCCTTTCCCAAAAAGTCAGTTAAATAAAAGTCGGTATCTCCTTGTTATGGTTGATCATTTTAGTAAGTGGACCGCAATTGTTCCTATAAAACGAGCCTCCGCGAAATTAGTTACTGATTCTATTTTAAATAAATGTATTTTAAAATACGTGGCGCCCCTAAAAGTTATATCGGATAATGGTCCTCAATTTGTAGGTAATATATTTGAAGACATGTGCCAAAAACTGGGCATACGTCATTTAAAATTGGTCCCGTATCGGCCGCAATCAAATATAGCGGAACGGGTCAATAGAAATATAGTGAAATTATCCGTAGTTATGTTAAAAATTTTCATAAAAGCTGGGATAACTATGTCAATGAATTAGCTTTCGCCCTTAGGACCGCAAAAGATGATACGACGGGCAAAACTCCTGCTGAGTTATTTTTAGGCAGAAAGATTATAACGCCGTTAGATAAATTATTTTATGTTCAACAAAGAGCCCCAGAATTTAAAATGGGTGATATAGAAAAATTAATTAAAGAAGCAAAAAGAACACTGGAAGTAGCACAGAGAAAACAGAAGCTTTATTATGATATGAAACGACGGGGAGTAACTTATAAAGTAGGAGATGAAGTGTTAAAAATTAAGCATTCACTTTCTTCAGCACCAGAAGATAAAACCGCCAAATTTTTCCACGATTTGAAGGACCATATGTCATAGAAAAAATAACTCAGGCTGTAGTGGTGTTAAAAGCCAGGAAATGGTGAAACCTGCTCCGCAAACATTGACCAGATAAAACCATTCTATGACCGTAATAAAATGCAAATATTTTAAAGATCTTTTGCAGGATCCGGCACGGCAGGCACGGCAGGCACTGCAGGCACAAGCTCCAGAGGTGGAACAACGACAATCACAAGGGCAAGCCATTAGGAGGCAGGAGCAATTGAAAAGAAAGTTTCCCCGTTGGAAAATTGAAGGTAACAAGAAAAAGAAGCCGTTCCACCGACCAGAAAAGAGAGCGCACGACCACCCTCAGAATGAAGAAGGGAGAAGTACGACGAATGCAAAGAGAGCCAGGAGAAATAACGGCAACTATAACCCGGCTCCCAAACGGAAGATCTACCCATCGACAGGAGTCTACGCAGCAAATGTCGACGAATCGATGAAGGAACGCCAGCTGCTGAGGCAAAGAAACAAGGAAAATTTGAACAGCCAGCAACGAGATCCAAGCGGGAACGAGAGAGAGTTGTCCCGGTTCTGCCAAGACCAGCTGCCATCAAACGGCCGAGACCACAGGCAGAGGCTAAAAAGAAGGTCTTCAAGGGTGACCGCACTGGAAGAAAAAGAAAGCTCATCGAGGAAGGAACTGAAGGGCGAACCCGCACAAGAAGGAAGATAAACCAAACACTAGTCTTTGCTACCTTCCAGGACTGGGCAGAAAAAAGAATGTCCGAATATCACAAAGGTAAGTAAAACTTTATGTTACTTTGCAACCTTAAGTTAATCTTTCATTCTTACTGCAAGTGGCAGAATTCAAGACGTTTTACCTCATGTGAGGTCTACCTTTATCGCCAAAAAGGCGAGAAATGAGTTGTTACCTATTTTGGTATTATGTTTTTCAATTACTCGCGAGTAAAACTAAAATTAATGTATAATAGGAATGTGTAAATACTTGAATATTTTAAAAGTTATTGTATAAAATTTTATTTAAAAGATTCTGGCAAGAAAGAAGTTTTAGTCTGAAAGACTTTTGAAATGTAGTATTTCAATGGAGAAGAATTGGCACTTGCTTGGAAAAGAAAGAAGTTAACAATGTACTACTAATGTATGTTTTAAAATGCGTAAAATTAATGGCATGTTAAGATGTCCTTATACAATGTGAACTGTTATGTTAAACGTTAAGAAATACTGTGATATGTTAAAAGTGAAAGTAATGCCAAAAATTTTTAACTTATTCGTGTGACTGTAAAAAGAGCAAATTATTGTGAATATGTGTTAAAGGTTGAATGAATGTAGTTAGGCTCTCTGATGCTACACTTCAGTGTTAGCCACTTTCAGAATAGTACCTCAGGGTTTAGAGATGAATATAAGGTGTGTTATGAGGTCTTGTTATGTTGAATTTTAACACGTTAGTGTTTTGATTGCAGGCGGTAGTGTTGGACACTTGTACATAAATACATTCGTGTTTGGTGTTTTCTTTTACAACACATGTCAGAAAGCACGGGGAGAGATAATTAAATAAAGTCATGAATGAAATAAGAATGTTAAGAGAAATATAAATATTCATGTTACTTGCCATTTAATTGTGTAACATTTCATTAAACTAGTTTTCCTTCCAGATCTCTGGAAGGAACCAGATTTCAACTAAGAGCTCCTGTTTAGATGCAGTACAGATGAAAAGTAATTGTCCATGAAGTTGATAATGCAAAAAACCATTTTTTTTTTTAATTTCTAGTTTCTAGGGAGAAATGTTTGTAAAAGATTGGCCTCGCGTTAGATTCTAGAGCTAAAAGTTTTCAACAAGGTCGTTTTAGACCTCAGTTTCAAACTAATTAACTCTGGCGGGAAGTATGTAAGGATCTTAAGTTTTACTAACGTTTATTTTATTTTAAATCTTTACTATCACTTCTTATTTTCTACTTCCGGCCAGAGTTAAAAGCTTTAACTTTTTTATGCAAATTTGTCTTGCGAACGCCAAGTACTTAAGTTGTGGCTTTTTGCCAAGCAAGAGAGGAAGGAGTGATTAGGAGCAGGCCGCTTGCCATAGCAGTTTTACTCGGTTGCTGGTTGCCTTCAAGGCCAGAGGTTTAATCCTCTTGATAATTTTAAACGTATCGTAGTATTAACAGTTCTCTGTACTACATACGGCCTTTCTGTTAATATACGGCCAATCTTCAAGTAGACACTTGTTTATTAATCCAAAGTTAGTTTAGTTAGAATTTAGTTAATATTTTTATATTCTTACGTTCAGACCACAAGTGGTTGGTCTCTGTATTCCGAAGTCCGGAAATCATTGTAAAGAGAGAAAAATAAAGGGTTTCGTATACCCTTCCTGTGTATCTTGTCTACTTCCCACATTTATTGAACATAGCTTTAGTAAGCTCCCTGTTCCGAGTCAGGTCATTTAATGTTCCCAAAGCAAATAAGGAAGAACAACTGAACCTGATAAGGCGTCTTTCAGTTTCAAAGAATGAGGGAAATGTGGAGAAAATTCCTTCTTCAGTAAAATCTAATAGATGTGTAACTACTGAGCAATTTTCAGACATACTTGTATAAAGCAAAAAATGCTGTAAGCTAATTTTAATTGAAAATCTGAAAATGAGGAAAGTTGGTGCTAAGTATGAATAACTTCTCTGAAATTACGGGTGAAACTGCAGTATCTTTTGTATAATATAACATGGAAATGTTATATTATGGAATATAACATGGAAATGTTAATATAACATGGAAATGTTATATTATACAAAAACAAGAAAACATATGCGGGAAAAACAAGATTACAGTCTATTTAACATTGACGTAAACAGCTATCTCGAAAAATTGTCAACATATCGCTAAGCTGGCTATTGTTTTGGCGACTAATTTTTGTCAGCAAATTTGGCGAGAAATCGCCAATAGTCGCCAAATTTGATGACCATTTGGTAGCATTTTGGTCAGTTCGCTGTATAACTGTAACTGGTACTATAATTAAATAACTGTAATTGGTCCTTCTATGCAACTGTAACCGTATCTGGCTTATATATGTAACTTTAGCCGTATATGCCTGCCAATAATTTCGAGAAATGGAAGGTAGCAGAGATTTCTCGGCAGTGGATGGGAAACTATGTAAGACCGAATAGAGCATCAGTTCCAATCAGATACCCCTGAGAGCTTCGCCTTTTAGATGCGCTTTACACTGCATTGTATTTAACGTTATTAGTAGTTTGAAGTAGTAACTACTCATTCTGCTCTGCCTTAAAGAGAACAGTTGTAGGGGTACTTTGCGGAAAGTTCCAGAACTCTAAAGTGTTTCTTTTGGGAAAATAAATTTTATCGAGCTATCATCGGTTCTGTGCATTCAGTCCATTACGAACACGTATGCACGCAACAATATTGTATTTATATAAATAATTGTTTAACTTACTTCGGATAATAAATTTGGTCAGACGGATGGTCAGCAGGGACATAGGGAAAACTCAGTAGAGGTTCTGCATGCTGACATCTTTTGCCGATATTCAGAGTCATGCTTTTTGCTTCTACCTCAGACATTAATGCACTTCTTGCTTTATGAAGCTTACTGGAAAAAAAATCATGTATCACAGATCATCAGCGCAGCAGATAGTAAAATCTATTTTATCATTCTATAATTCCTTAAAATACAACTGTAAAGAAGCATTCAATTTCAAACTGACCAGTTTCTGGCTGAAAGAAGAGAGAATGAGGGAGGAGAGAAAATTTTTTATCTTTTCTCTCTTCCCTTATTTCCACTTTCTGCCAGAATGATATTTCAATTTCGCGTGTTATGCAAAGTAGAGTAAAAAGATGCTATTTAAGCTGATGTTTGAGTTACTTCAGACCACGCTGTTTCGAGGATTTAAACTTGCTTTTACAATTGTGCATATTACTTGCCGATTTATGTACGTCAGTAATAGTTCTAAGAACTAACTCACGTTAATTATCTCTGAGCAGCTTCGGCTGATTATTTAGATTAGTTTTAATTTTATATTTCTATTTTGAGTTGCAGCCGTATTAGCTAAGTTTGTAAGCATCAAGGTGCCGTCTGTAAATTCCTTCTTCAGTTGAATAAAAGGGTTTTTTTAACCCTTCTCACATCTTGTCAGTTTGAACTTAGCAAATAGTCGCTTCAAGTAAAGATCTAGCCAACAAATTAAAATAGCCAGAATCCTACAGAGCTACAAAATTAATCCTATGATACTCTGTGTCAGCATTGTGCAATAATTTAATGCTGATGTCACAAAATTTCTTCAACGAAAGCTTTTTAAAATTTTTCTTTATCCGTTGTGCTACAATGTGTTTATTATCCGCACAGCTTGACTAGTATTAATACTATGAAAAATATAAAATATTTAATTTAGTTTACTCGCCACTTCGAAAATAGACAGTTTCAAAAGGATTGCTATTCAACGCGACATCAAAATCTTCAATTTCTTTTCTAGTTTGTACGGTTGTAAACTGTACTCGAGTTTGAGTTTTACAACTCTACCAGACAACTAGCAAGTTATCGCTTCGTATGAAAATAGAGTGGCAGAGATAAATCACTACTCATAGCGATATAATTTTATCAATATCGATACTTAAATTAAAGCGTTTATAATAAACGTTAATTACAGTCTAAAACTACATAAGCAATAAACTAAGCTCAACTAACTTTATCCGAACGAATAAATTTTTAAGCAATCGGCTGCAGATTCAAAACCCTCAGCTTACACTTAAAGCAAATTTTCGTTCTGGTGAGGAATACGGAAAGACGTTAAAGCAAAGATCAAAATCATATTAACTGTTAATTAATATAAGAACCTTACAAGTTATGGAATAATGCGAAAAATTAAAACAGTAAATATATCTTAATAAGCGTAAATCAAATCTCTGTTTTTTTTCCTAATAATGTATCTAAGGAGTCAAAGTTAAACTATATGCATTATATTTCATTGATAATTACGAACATTCTTATCATTAGTGCAATTAATTAAAGGTGTTTCCAATACTGTACATTCCGAACCTCGAGACAGAACCTCCTCCCCTTTCACACTGGTAGAAAAGTTATCAAGCGAATTAGAAGCAAAGAATGTTATTTTAGAGTTCTTCTAACGTTCTTTGCCAATATTACATGAGTAACATGAAACTTGTTTATAAAAATTTTTTAAATAGATGCTTACGTTATTAGAAAGAAGAGAAAAACATCATTTTATAACACATTTCACAAGATCTAAAGCAGATCACATCAAATAACACCGTACAAACAGTACAGAGTACAGTTTACAACCGTACAGAAAAGACAGTAACTAGAAAAGAAATTGAAGATTTTGATGTCGCGTTGAATAGCAATCCTTTTGAAACTGTCTATTTTCGAAGTGGCGAGTAAACTAAATTAAAGATTTTTATATTTTTCATAGTATTAATACTAGTCAAGCTGTGTGGATAATAAAGACATTGTAGCACAACGGAGAAAGAAAAATTTTAAAAAGCTTTCGTTGAAGAAATTTTGTGACATCAGCATTAACTTATTGCACAATGCTGACACAGAGTATCATAGCATTAATTTTGTAGGCTTTGTAGGATTCTGACTATTTTAATTTGTTGGCTAGATCTTTACTTGAAGCGACTATTTGCTAAGTTCAAACTGATAAGATGTAGAACAAATTGAACGTTAGGCCGGTGCTATATCATATTTGGAGTAAAATTATTTACTAATTTATAAGAAGCCTTGGTTGATTTCTTTTCTTCAAACAGTAAAACCATTGTAACAAATAACAATTCTGAAAGCACATATTTGCTCTTTAAGATAATATTCAAATCAATAAAAGGTTTTTACAAAATCAGTTACAACTTAAAGATGAATTTTGCTTATTTTTAAAAGAAACAGAACCATTGTTTAAATGTTCTAAGGAGAACTTTCTTGTATATTTTGACATTTACTATATTTCAAAGCATTTTAAACTAATTAAAGAATCTACAAATTATAAATGTTACAAAATGAATAGTAACATTGATTCTTTATACAATATAAAATATGTATTTAGTCATTTCAGATTTTGCTAAAGGGAATGGCAGGGAAGAGAAAATCCATTTCAATGAATTTTTAATTTGATTATAATTTTGATGTTTATAAAATTATATACGCTAATAATATATACGCTGTTATAATCTTATAATTATTTTACTTTCATCAGTGTTTCCTTTTATTCTAAGCATTGTCTGCTTTATATTGATATGAGACAATCGAATGTAGTATATACAGCCCATTCAGTACATTACTGTTGGAACAATTTCTGAATGCTTAAATCTTCGTTCGCTGCCTGAAAGAAAACTGACAGAGCTTCTACAGCGTTAAACAGTATAAATTCATAACAAAACCGCAGACTTTTAATTGTTAATAAAATAATTAGATTGATACATACTTTTCACATTCTTTTAGCTCTTCAGAGCAGTGTGCCATATTTTCATCTGCTTTACATATAATTGACTCTTCCTTTAAAAAATAAATAAATAAAATAATGAATAAATAAATAAATAAACTGTTTACTGAAAACTTTTTAATTGTAAGGTATCAGTTATGCAGCCTTATTTAAAAAGAAGAAGAAAAAAGTTTTCAAATTTATTTTATGCAGCAAAAGAGAAGTATGTTGATTCAATTTACACACAATTCTAATTTATTTCTAAAAAACAGTTTTGCAATAAAAGGCAAGTGTAAATATTTTTAAATATATGAGAATTAAAATTTTAAAATTACTTTAAAAATATACCAGAGTGCTTCCTTCTTATAATAAAAACGTTACTTTACTATATATTAAATAAAACCTATGCGGACACCGCATGACTTCCTTATACGGCCTATGAAATTATGCACATTTTTCGCTTCACTTCATTTAAGCTTATTTCTTCGAATTTTGCTACTTAATTAACCGATCCCACGTGAAAATTTTAAAATGACATCAGAAATTTGCAAATTTTGAAATTAAATATATCGATTAATTTTTTGTCATATGGCAGTTAAACTTTCTATAATTTTATTTTTTCATAACGAGAATAAAGCTCCAAAATATAAGTACAGGAAACGTGAGACCACGATAGATTTCGTTATTTTCCAAAATAAATTTCTTTTAAATTTGACAAACCAAAACATGAGTAATTTCGTGAATACTTCTATAATTGGAAGTATATGACTACGACCAATGGTTGTCAAAATAAAGGCTGAATAAGGAGGACAATTTAAGCCGGGTAATGGGGTGGGTAATACATATATATATATATATATATTTTACACTTTTGGTATGGGAGATTACATTGAAAAAGGGAAGCGCACAAGTAGACGGACAGCAGTCTCATATGTAAAATTTCGAAATATTGCTTTGATGAGCAGTGAAATTAGATATTAGACATATGACGCAAAAGTTGAAAAATTCAACTTTTCTATCAAGAGCTGGTATAACAGGACAAAAAGCCAGGAAATCTCACAAAAGTACGTGAAGTCCTGTTCCTACGCCGACAAATTAAGTCTTATTGGATAGCGCCGTTTAGAGGAAATTCTTTCATAGTGATAATACTTTTTTTGTCCTATAAAATATGAATTAAAAAAAATATTTTATTGTAGTAGCAACACACTCTTTAATTACATACAGTCTTTGAAAATTTATAAAGATAGAAATTTAAAATTTGCGGTGCAGAGAGGCAGCATGAAGTTTTGGTAGATATGTAGAGACATTGGGTATTTTTGGAAGTAGGCAAAATGAAAAATTAGCAACGCCTTCGCCGGAAATCGAACCGCGGACCTCTGGAATACGCGTCCAGCGTGCAAACCACCACACTACGAAGGCTCACTAAGAAGGCGGAAGAAATACCTTATATACTCCCCCTTTTAATGGGCGACTGGAGATTTTAGGAGATCCAATCGCCAAATCCTGAATGAGGAGAATCATCATCCAACAGCCTTTTAGTTCGAGCGCGACTGTAGAGACATTAGGTATTTTTGGAAGTAGGCAAGATGAAAAATTAACTACTCCTTCGCCGGGAATCGAAGCGCTTTCCTCTGTTATACGTGCCCAGCATGCCACCACACCACGAAAGCTCGCTAAGAAGGCGGAAGAAATACCTCATAAGTAGATTTTACAAGTTTTGGTAGATAAAAGCAGATATTTGTAGATTTTCGGGCAGGTGTAGGTATATAAAAGATAATCTTCCGTTACTGTCAATAGTTTGCGCAGCCCCAGTCTCAAGCCCTCAGATTACCGCTTAAAGCTACGGTAATTTATGTGAAAGAAAAAGATGGTGCTTGATGCACGGCCGCTTTTGCCCAACCCAAACCTTCCTTGCTGTTATGCTTTTAATGCTACTATTCCGTTAGAGCGGCGTCAGTTTAAATGTCGATTGGAGAAAGGTCTGGTGACCGTCCGTGCTGGTCAAGGAAGATTATGAACCGCACGGAGACAGTCCAGAGATATGCAAACGGTATGTGGCCTGGTATTATCTTGTTGGAAGATGGCCCCAGGATGGATGACTAAAGATGGCCTGCTGTCATAAGAAATAGCACACCATCACACCAGCAGGTTATGCCTTTGTAAAACAAAGGCTGATTGGGCTCGCTGGCCCATCCTCTCCAGACAGTGGTCATCTGCTTCAAGAGTCATCGCTGAACACTATACGATGCCAGCCATGATGATCGGCTGCGACACCACTTCAGACGACTCTACCATTTTTGTGGGATCAAAGGCAAACGTCTTAAAGGCCTCTGTGAGCGTAACCCCGCCTCAGACAAGCGCCGTGAGATGGTGGACGGTACCACGGGAGGTATAGACGTGGCTGTAATGCTTTGAATAGTCGACAATGATACCTTTGAGGCGGTTCGGGCCTGGCGAACAATCATCCTATCTTGCCTCGCATTTGTGCTCCTTGGCCTTCTAGAGCCTTCATTTCGTCGTCAATTTCTTTGTAGTAACCATTGCTGCCAACATCTTTGCACGTTGCATCTCTGTACGCTGCAGGTGGCGGCCTATTGCTCGGTATGACCACCCACCTTCACGCAACCCTACAATGCAACCACGGTCGAAGTCGTTTAGTTGTCTGTAAGGTTTTTAATATTTATTAGTTTTATATTTCGCGAATTGCGCACTAGAAATGTGCGCTATGATCGCTATTCCGCTTCATTTGATTTAAAACTTCGATCATTTGCATGTTCGATCAAGATGCTTTTGCATACCAAATTCCGTCACGATCGCAAAAGTCCTTCTTGGTGCTTCGATTTTTTTTTTTTTTTTCTTTTTCAAAAGAGTGTATAATGCTGCCATCCGCGTTGCTTAAACCCCGAATACCCACTGTTCCTGAATAACACGTCCGACGTTGTTTTTTACTTCCTTGTACGAAGTAAAAAAGAAGTATTGTAATCGCGAAAAGTTTCAGGCTGCATATTTCAAAGAAAATATCCATTTTGACCGCTATCGAATGCAATTTCACAATGTTTTTGCCTGATATCTGTACGTAAGGACAGAATAAAATACTCTTTTCTTCCAAAAAAAATATAAAACTGCTTTAAAATGAATTCTGAAGAGAATTTTTCGTGGCGTCTGTACGAACGTATGTATACTGCTCAAAAATAAATAAATAAATAAAAAGGGGGGACAGTTCTATATCTCTTGTTCTACTGGGCCGATTGACGAAATTCAAATTGCGTTCTTCATGTCTCGAAAGCGCAACTTAGGATATATTAGCTCTACATTTATATATAGCTCTACTCTAACATAGTTATTCTGACACGAAATCGGACTTTTTCTGAAATAACATAACAATTTTTTCCATATTTCGATTCTACGACTCAAATTATGCTAAATATTAAATTTTGTCAAATTTGGTGCAAAATTTACGGAGAAATTCAACAATTTATGTTGGCGCTTTTTATTCAGTTTGAGCCAAAATGGCGAACTTCACTTGGCGAACTTCTTAATATGTGGCAACCTATTTTCATTTCCATTTTTACATAGTGCGTGAGAGGAAAAAAAGACCCAATCGTTCCTTCTTTCAAATAATGTTCTTTATATTATATTTTTAATTATAATTGTTATGAACTTTAAGCAATTTTTTTCTTTTTAGAATTTCATTTTAATTGTTTAAGTTGCATGGTTTCTTTCGAATAACTGTTTTAAAAATTTCTATTTACTCGTGCGAACTGCGTAGTTTAAATCAAAGGTGCATCGTTTATTCTTTTTTTTTTTTTTTTTTTTTTTTTTTTTTTTTTTTTTAATAGTTTTCTTTATACTATATTTTTAGTCATAGTTATTATTTTAGGTAATTTTTAAATTTTTAGACTTTATTTTAATTGTTAGTGTTGCATTGACTCTTCAGATAATTATTTTAATATTTTATATTTCTTCATTCGAAACGAGCATTTTAAATACATTTATTAATAGAAATTTTCCAGAATTTGATTTTATTTATTTGAATTGCATTTCTTTCGGAGGAATACTTTGTAACCCAGACTACGATGCATTTGAAAACTGCATATATTAAAAGAGAAAGCACAGTTAACACGCCTTTCAATGTTCCGTTCAGAAAAGATATATATAAATAAGAGAGATGTATAACCGATATTTTAACTTAGGATGACTTGTATGCACTGCTTTAAACAGTTTTATCATTGTGCCCATTGCTTTACACAATTTTACCCTACATTTGTGTTCTTAAAATGTTATTCATATTTTAGTCAAATATTTTATTTTTGAAATCGCAAGAATCAAATATCATAAGATTAAAAAGTTTTAAATTTAAAAAAAATACAAATACTAAATTTTACGCAAAAATTTATTTTTTATTCTCTTTTTCTTCAGACATTCTGCTTCATTCTTGCTCTTTTTCTTAGGCAATCTGCAAGTATATTAAAAAGCATCCAACTTTTCGAAACATCTTGGTATTTCTGACAATCATTTTAAATAAAGTTATATCGCCTTCCATTTCATAAAGGCCCACAAACGGCAGCGAAGCTGTAAAGTCGCTGAAAAGTCACTGGTAGTTCACTCGGGGTGCGAATCAAAGTAAATCCCTGGTTGCATAGTTTTTCGTGGATTTTCTCATGTGTAGTGTATGCCAGCTGGTTTCCCTTAGAAAGTTCTTCACGAAGGCACCCTTCCTTTTAGGCAGATAGCCCTGCTTTGCTGTAACTTAATAATCCAATTCAATCCACTTCATCAGTATTTGGTCAGAACCTTTATCAGTCTTTAGAGACTAAGCATTTTGAAGGTATGAGATGAAAGGAAAGACTGGTTTCATCAAGAGGTTTAGGTTTATTTAATTATGACAAAGCACACTAGGGCTATCTGCCCTAACGGGAGGGATGCCTTCGTGGAGGATTTTCTAACGGAAACTGGCTCCTATACACGTTACACATGGGGAAAATCACGAAAACGCCCATGCAGCCAGCCCGTTCGCAGGATTCGAACCTCAGACCGAAATACCAGTGTTCAGCGACTTTACCGCTCGGCCGCT